TGCATGTTAAGTCTGATCACAATTCACTGGACATCTATTGTCTGGCTATTAGACATGTCCTCTTTGTTTGGTTACCTGATGTTTTTTTCCTAAAATATAAAGCCCATTCTGTAGTTCTCCTGCTTATGAATTTTCAGTGGATTCCTTAGAACTAACAGAAATGTTCAGTAGATCCGGAATGAATGAATGTTTTCAAGATACAGCCCTAATTACTTGCGATTCTCAAGCTAGGCCTGGCCATTCTGTCCAACTTCAACCTCAGCCAGTCTATCATAGGCCATGATCAAGCAAGGTTCTTTCATACTTGGCCTCTTTGAGAAATATCCCACTTTTGTCCCTATATGGTTGTTATATTTGTTTTTAAAATCCATCCCTCTCAGCCCTGGCCAGTGTGGCTCAGTTAGTTGAACATCCTCTCATGTACCAAGAAGTGACAATAGGATTCCTTATCAGGGCACATGGCCAGGTTGCAGGCTTGATCCCCAGTATGGGCATGCAGGAGACAGCCAATGAATGACTCTCTCATCATCGATGTTTCTATCTCTTCCTCCCTCTCCCTTCCTCTCTGAAATCAATCAAAACACTTCTTTAAAAAGTAGAATTGATTTTACCCTAAATAATTTTGAAATTTATCCCATATTTCATGATAATTTATTAGAATGTCTATCTCCAAAACTGGATGATAACTCCTGAATTGGACTCTGAATTCCCAGTGTTCAGCATAGCATATAATGGCATCCAATAACTTTTGGGTATCTGAATGCATTGCTAATTGTCAATTTTGAAATTTATCCCATATTCCAGGATAATTTATTGGAATGTCTATCTCCCAAATTGGATGATAACTCCTGGATTGGACTCTGTATTCCCAGTGTTCAGTCTAGTGCATAGCATATAATGGCACCCAGTAACTTTTGGGTATCTGAATGCATTGCTAATTGTTTGGGTGTAAAAATGCCTTTTCCTACAAAACGATGGTATAAATGGTGATTTAATATTCAACTGACTTAAAAAGCCTGCTTAAAACATAATAGAACTGAAACATATTGCTAATATTGCTTTCCACACCCCTAATATTAGCATGTTATTTCTCTGCTCTATTGCCAACAAGAAACCTTCCTTCTTCTTTTATCCTTGCCCAGTGGCAGAGATCTATCTTAAACTTTTCCTTTTGGTCTCTCTTTGCCTTACAAGGAAAGGCCAAGGAAGAGTTCTTTCTGTAATAGTGGGATGGGATTTCTACCATTTTGATTTTCATGATGGAGACATATATCAACTGAGGGTTTGAATCTTTGGGATTTGTCTGTGTCTCAAATAGTCATGAAGACCACTTGTTTCATAACATGCCATTATGCTAATGCATAAGAATTTTGCTGCCATACTATGAGCTATAAAATGAAAATAACTTTAAAGGAGCTCTATTAATAAATAAAAGTATCAAAAGGACCTTCCTATTAGTGTTCTCATGCATAAGAAAGTCTTACTCATGCTTTTCACTAATCCAGGCACTTGTACTTTGACTTGTATTAAATTAATCAAAAGGGACCTTCTTCCTTGACTTCTTAACCCTCATCACACTTTTTGTATACTTTGGTTTTCTTATAGACAGCCACAAAAAATAATGCTTAAACTTGGGGGGGAAACATGATGTATGATGAAATAATTGATGTAATGTATTTGATACATACATTATAATGCAAACAAACATGACTGCTTTTGATAGGAAGAAAGGCAGATGTTTTAAGAAACAATATTCTGAACCAAGTCATGTGTTTTTATAAAGTAGCACTGTTGGTGGGAATGCAGATTGGTGCAGTTGCTGTGGAAAGCAGTTTGGAGTTACTTCAAAAAATTAAAAATGGAACTATCTTATGACCCAGTGATTTCACTTTTGGGAATTTATCCAAGGAAACTTGAAACACTCATTCAAAAAGAATATATGCACACCTATGTTCATTGCAGTGTTTTTTGCAATAGCCAAGATTTGGAAGCAGCCAAGTGCCCACCAGTAGATGAGTGGATAAAAAAGCTGTGGTACATTTACATAATGGAACACTACTTGGCCATAAAAAAGAAAGATATCTTACCCTTTGTGACAACATGGATGGACCTGGAGAGTATTCTGCTAAGCGAAATAAGCCAGTCAAACCCAGTCAGAGAAAAATGCGTACCAGATGATTTGATTCATTGTGGAATCTAATGAACAAAATGAACTAACAAGCAAAAGAGTGACAAACTCATAGATACAGAGAAGGCTGACAGCTGTTGGAGGGTGGGAGTTGGGTAGGGGTGTGGAAGGATTGAGCATAAAAGGAAAAAAGAAAAAACTCGTGGACATGGGGCACAGTGTGGTGACTGCTGGGGGTAGGGGGCTGGAAGGAGGAAGAGGAGAGTATAGGAGGGATAAATGATGATGGATGGAGACTTGACTTGGTGAACACATAATACAGTATATAGATGATATGCTGTAGAATTGTGCACCCCAAACCTGTATAATTTTGTTAACCAGTGTCACCCCAATAAATTCAATAAAAAAGAAAAAAGGCAAGATATACAATGTTGGTGACGATATTGGGAAAAGGGAACCATTATGCACTATTGATTACTCAAGATATAAAAATCTAAATTGGTACAGTAACTACTGAATACAGTATGAATGTTCCTCAAAAATTAAGACTAGAACTACCATATGATACATCAATCCCCTTCTGGTTATGTATCCAAAGGAAATATAAGGAGAATCTTGAAGAGATATCTGCATGCCCATTTTCTTTGTAACATTATTCACCATACTCAAGACATAAAAATACCCTAAGTATTCATCAACAGATAAATAAAGAAGATGTGACCATATATGTGTGTGTGTATACATGTATATTTGCTAAGATAGTGTATCTTAAAAATTCCCATCACAAAAGAGAGAAGCAATATTCTGTACCAAAGCATGTGTTTTTATAAAGTAGCTAACCTCATTAAGTTCGTTAAATAAATGCCCTTTCTGAGTCACTGTCTTCTTTTTTTAAAAAAATAGGTGGGGTTTGCATTGCGCAATCACAGAAAATCCCACGTGAACCAAGACCTGGAGAATTTGAAAAGATTATCAAACGCCTGCTAGAAACACCTAACGCCCGGGCAGTGATCATGTTTGCCAATGAAGATGACATCAGGTACTGATTAATTTTCTTCCTTATGCAGGATCAGATTTGTGGCCCACATCCTTTTTTTTTCTAACATATTTCATGTTCAATATAAAGTCTTGTGAGATTTCACAGGAATTGAAACATTCATATGCAATTTACAGATTGCCTTCTGGTGCACAGAGACACAACAGCCTTCGAGTACCTAAGTCTGAAATGTCTATTGAGTAAAATCTGGGGATTGAAAGAAGTGAGACAAGTAAGGTTGATAGAATGAAGAGAATAAGGTTAAGGATAAGACTAATTAACAGGTGCTGGAGTTAAAGTCACCAACATATCTCCTTTAGAAGATGATACAACTCAGACACTTAGAATGATTGTCTAATGGTGCCCTACTGAATGTATATAACTTGATATAGCCAACTTGTAACATTCATAACTGTAGTGTTTCTTGATAAATGTGGTATGTTTATTTCTTTTTATTACAATAGGAGGATATTGGAAGCAGCAAAAAAATTAAACCAAAGTGGGCATTTTCTCTGGATCGGCTCAGATAGTTGGGGATCCAAAATAGCACCTGTTTATCAGCAGGAGGAGATTGCAGAAGGGGCTGTGACGATTTTGCCCAAGAGAGCATCAATTGATGGTAAGGATGCATGGTAGAGAATGTGTTTTCATTCCAATTAAATCTAAACTCAAAGGTGAAACCAGAGGATCAGCATATGATGAAACATGGATTTTTTTTAAGAAAGGCAATTCTAGTTGACCTTACATATTTCCATGATGTTAGCCATTTTCATGATGCTACCCTCTAAGTTTGCATATTTCCATGGGCATAGCTGATGGTTATAGCACTGTTTGAGGGAGAGGGCTTGCTTCATAGAATATGAAGACGTGATGCTGGACCAATCCTATGGATACAAACTCTACAGCAAAGATGTGGCGCATCCCTGAAAGGCAGCTTGTCTCCCAAATGTCTTTGCCAATGGTGCTGTCAGTGATTGAAATTTCTACGTTTGCCATTACCCTTTTGAGTAAGGCATCGTTTCCAGCTGGTTTCCCTTCAATGTGGTCATTACCCGAGCAGGCTGACACCCATGACTCGGAAGATTATATTAGTACTGATTAGTTAATTGAATTAGTTGAAAATGGAACATATAGGACATAAATTTTGAGGCTGGTAAAAGCATAGAGGTCTTGAACATTAACTCTTGAAAGGAGAAAGAGAGAGAATGAATGAATGAATGTCTGAGTTGGTTCTGACTATTTAACATGAGGTCACTGGTCCCTGCCACTGGGAGACCTAGCAGAGGGAGAGGTTGAGATGACAACAGGCTTTCCTGTTACACTCATCCCTAGTGTCAGGCGCCTGAATGGTGACTGCTTGGTGTTTGCCATAAGGGAAGCCTTTGGTTCTCCTCCATTTTTTTCCCATGGAATAATCACAGTATAACATAAAATCCATTTAAAAGCTCTGATAGTATTTGGTTTTGATTTTGAAAGAATATTAAAATCATACCTTTCTTCTTTAAATAGGATTTGATCGATACTTTAGAAGCCGAACTCTTGCCAATAATCGAAGAAATGTGTGGTTTGCAGAATTTTGGGAGGAGAATTTTGGATGCAAGTTAGGATCACATGGAAAAAGGAACAGTCATATAAAGAAATGCACAGGTAGCCACTTAAATGTTTTCCTTGGCGCATTTGTTCTATCATTACCTGTGAAATGAAGTGTTTCTACATGGATAACTATGAGGGTATTTTCTGTTTTCTTCTGTCTCTTGTCATAATTTTCCGGAAGGGCTGAGCATACACTGCTCATTCAACAAACTTAGGTGTACTCTTTGGTTCTTACAGTTAAAGTATTTATTGGGCATGTGCCAGGTGTGGGGCATTTCAGTCCTATTTTAAAAAGCATTTATTGAGTTTCTACTTGGGGCAAAGCACTTTATTAAGATTGGGGGTGGGGAGTATGGGCAACTAAGCAAGACATGATATTGCTCTCCAGTAAAGATGATGGATCAGCCCTAACCAGTTTGGCTCAGTGGATAGAGCGTCAGCCTGCAGACTCAAGGGTACCAGGTTCGATTCCGGTCAAGGGCATGTACCTTGGTTGCGGGCACATCCCCAGTGGGGAGTGCGCAGGAGGCAGCTGATCGATGTTTCTCTCTCATTGAAGTTTCTAACTCTCTATCCCTCTCCCTTCCTCTCTGTAAAAAATCAATAAAATATATATTTTTAAAAAGATGATGGATCATAATAATTTGCTATAAGACACTCATTAAAAAAATACTATTTCAATCCATGGCTCCTATGATACTCTTGCCTGCCATATTCTGCATAGCACTAGCAGCTGTGATTTTTCATTTTATATATCTTATGCTTAAAAATAATAGCAATATTAAAGGTTCGTATTTTAAATGTAAGAATTAAACATTTTCAATTACCCATTTTTTTATCTTATGTATGGAATATTAAAAATTACTTAGAACTAAGTAGTACATTTGGCAAGGTCACAGGTATAAGGTCAGTATAAACTTTAAAAAATCCTTTTTACAGTTATATCATATTATATAAGAAATTAACACAAAAAAATGAAATTTAAAGGCTACTGTTTATAGCATGGTAATACAACCATAAAACATTATGGGCAATGTTAACAAAGATGCATAAATCCTCTATACTGAATACTTCAAAACTTGCACAGGTATTTTATAAACAGACATGCCTCCCTCATGCCCATATTTTGATATATCCTCCTTTCCCTCTATTCACTTCTTTTGGAATGAGCTGTTCAAATAAAAGATGTGCTATGATAAGTGCTAGAGCGGACGTGTGAGCAGAGCAGGCACGGGGATGTGCACATGGGTGCCATGCTGTGGAGGGGGCTGGGTGAGGAGAGCTTGCATCCAAGTGTGAGGAGACAGACCCTCAATAAGTAAATGCACAAAGGAACAGGGACTTCCAGAACCTGAGACGTGCTTACAGGAAACGCCAGAAGAGACTGTGCAAGGGTGACCAGGAGGCATGGCAGGGAGGGGAGCGATTAGATTGTGCGGTCACAGGAGGCTGCGCCAAGTAGATGGCGTTTGCAATGAGACCTGAAAAGCCAGAAGGTCTCAGCCACGTGAAGACATGAGGGCAGCCCGTTGAAGGGTCCAGGGCAAGTCTCTTTTGTTCAAGGTGCAGGGGAGGCTGGAGTGAGTGAGAGTGAGGATAGTTAGTGAGAGGGAGCATGAGGGCAGATGAAGCTAAAGAGACGGGCTGGGGCCCGGTCATGCAAGTTCTGAAGTTCTTTCCAGAAGCTCCAGAGCTGAGGCCTTTGGGCTCTTTCCTACCTGTAGGGTAGAATTACTTGAGGCTTTTAACCCAAGGCATTGCTCAGATGCCTATTTTAAGAAGATTCCTCTGGAGAAGTATGAGGAGGATTGGAGATCAGGGATGAGATAGGAAAAGGGTCAATTAGGGCCCATCCAGTTCTGGCGATGGGCAGTTATGGCCTAAACAAAGACATGTGAGTTAGGGGCAGACCACAGAGGACAGAAGTCTAGTAGGTAGTATTTATACTACATGGGGAGTGACTAACACTGGGGGTGGTAGTTAGTGATGAAATATTAAAACTCTACCAGCTAGGTCTAGGAAAATAGCTATGTACCTACCTAACAGAGAAGACAGAATGGTGAATTTGGAGGCACTGACTTGAATTTGGTTTTGATGTAGCCCCATGGAACTGCCCAGCAGGTGGCAGCATAAGGTCTGGGACCCCATAGAGCTTTAAGCACTAAAAATACATTATTAGGGAATGGCAGATGGAGACCTGGAAGTTAAAGACCAGGGCAGAGATGCAATTGCCCTTGGTGCTTGAGCAGAGATGAGGGATGACAATTGAAAACTCTGGGGAAGGAGCTAGAAAAGGAAATAGCAGGTGAGTTTTGGAAGGAGATGAAGTGGGGCGGGGGCGCAGTCACTGTCTTCTCAGTCTCCAGGAAATAAGATGGGGTGCACACAGTGCTACAGAGAGGTGTGGCTGAGGCATAGGAAGTGTAATAGGGAAACTCACATTGTGAAATGGAACTGGGCTTGAGGAAGTGGAGGAAAGGATGCTTGTTCAAGAAGTTTGGCAGAAAAAGGAAGTAGATAGAGTAGGGGAACTTGAGGAAGAATCCGGGGTGCAGAAATGTTCTCTAGGATAGAGCACATGTAATCCCGATTTCAGATAGACTGAGCATTCAGAAGGAATAGCTAGAGAAAGAGAAATTAAATGTGGAGTAGGATATTGACAGGAATTTTAGGGAGCGGCATGAAGAAGAGGTATTATTTTAAATAACGTGACTAAGTTGAAAAAGAAGATATAGACAAACATGCACATAAACAGAGGGGGGAAATTCTGTAATTAAATGCTAAATTTGGGCATAGATATTAAGGAATTTCAGAAAATGTATAACTGTAAGTTCAAGTTTTAAATTTAAAACTTCATGGAGGAGGTGCGCTTGATAATAAGAAAGATTTGAGAAAGAGCATCCAAGATGATGGACATGGTGGGTGGGCAGGGCAGAGACAGAGAGTAGGATGTGGAGAGGGATGCGGAAGCGTGAAGAGGTCTGCCTACTGGATAGGAGGGGGCATGCTAAGGAATAATGGGAAATAAAGAGGGGCCACTTTATAGAAGGATTTGAGAGTTTATGCAGAGTCCGCTCTGTATTTGTCATTCAGATATATTTAACACTGCACTTAATTCTGAATTCTGACTGTGTTTGATCATCTGTACATTCATATCCTATTGTTTAGACTGTTTAATGAAAACCTACCAGTAACTGAAAGGATGAATACACTTTTTTATATATATGTTACATAATAAAATTGGTAGGAAGTTAGCTATTAACTAATTGCATAACTTGTAACAGACTGTTTTCAGAATACACAGTTTCCCTAAATTCACATTTCCCCCCACATGTTGATGTACACAGATGTCCTTCCGGTAGCTGTAGATGGTGTGAATTGCGTACTTATTTCAGGCATAAACACTGACCTGGGTTGTAGTAGGATCCTGACCTGGTGCCACATCTGCTTCAGATTCCTTTGATTTTCTTGGGTGTGGTTAAAATTGCAGCAATCTGTCCAATTAGAACTATTCCCAGTGCAATGGAAATAGTGTTTTACCCCGAGTGCTAGGGCAAATGCCCCCTTAGGGAGCAGGTTCAATACATTCCATTATTTCAGTATCATCCAAATTCCATTGTGGGTGATACTGAAATAACTTGTCCCTGGGAGAAAATAAGTAAATATTGCAACATCCCAACTTACATTTAAAAACAAGCAAACCAACAGCACCACATGAACATTTACAAGTGGTGAGAGAAAATACTTTGTCCCACATGACCCTCAACACCCAGTTTTCATCTCTGTTTTGGGGGAAGTGAAGATGATCTTGCACCTTAATGGTCAAATATACTTCAGAGGCAGAGCATTCATCAGTTAAGAAGTGCACAGGGTGTGAAAATTTATATTTCCAATTCCATCTAATTCAGAAATGAATGTGGACAGATGTGCCAGTTGCAAAATTTGGCCTTACAAGGTTCGCGTTTTAACCACCTACAATGAGTCAAAAAATTAGGGAACTCTGTGAAAACAGGATGCCTACAGGGTCCTTTTTGCTGTATGTGGAACATCAAAGGCGAGTTAAGTTTTAAGCAAAATTTTACCTTGAGTGATGGTAATCTGTGAGCGTAATTATTTTCTTCCATTGGGGGCGATACTCGCGATGTATTTATGTGGGTAAGAGAGTGCTTCCCAGCAGGGCAGGGCTCCTTCCTCTCAGCCTGCAGGAGACAGAGTGTCCTCCAGCAGTGGGGAGCGTCCTCTTCCTAAAATTAACGCAGCGCTGTTTTTCTGAGATGATCTTCCCCCTAGAATCTCAGGAAAACCTTCAGAAAGACGTGCTATTACTGTTAACTTTGATATCTGGCCAAGTTCCAAAGCGAAGTAATTCCTACCATCCATCTCGCTACTTATGTGGTTATTATTGCTTCTGAGAGAGCTGCTGAGTTCTGAAAGCCAGGACTACTTAATCCTACCTAAAATTCCCTTTGTCTTCTCTAGAAGAAGAAGGGATTCTTTTATACTTGTTATCATTGGGTGGTGGGAGTTATTTTAGAGGCATTTATCTGACCTCTCCATTTTTCCCTCCCTTGTTCCACTTTCACACTTAATGCCTTCCCACTCCTCAAACAGATGCGCACACCCTCCCTGGAGAATTGTGGGTCCTCATCATCTCTCCCGGCCTTCGCACGTTTTTCACACACCTATTTCCCCGGTCGGGCCTCTGCCTGAACTCTTCTTCCACTGTTCCCCTCGCCTCATTTTTTTCTTTTTCCCACCTTTTCTCCGGTCAGTTCCTTCCCTGACATTGTTTTGTTCAGCAAGACTCTCACCGGCAGTGGAGAGTTTGTTTGTGTGCTTTTTTGAGGTGTCACTTAACTGTTGTAATGGCTGTCATGCTGACTTTTTGTCTGTTAGAGAGGCCTACTAGTGAATATTGCAGGGACTTGAGTATGTTCAGCTGAGCTGCTCCTTAAAGGCAGACTCCCCCTTGGTCACACTGTTGACCTCGACTTTCACTTCCCCCACACGAGTTGTGACTAGCTCTTTCTTTATTAAAACAGCGCTCCCTGACC